TAGTTCCGAAACTACACAATATTTATAAACTGCTCCCTCTCTGAGTACATTTGGCCTAGACATAGCAAAGATTCAGGAGCCACTGGGTAGCATCGCACTGTAACTGTACTATAAATTAAAATGGAGGGGTTGAAGAAAATAGAAATGAGTGGATAATGTTTCATCATTATTGGAATATACTGTATGCGGATGTCCAGCCTCTGACAGGATAGCTAAGCACTACAAACAAATTCATTAGATAAATTCACTAACACCGTTAAACCCCCTAATAAATCCTAGTTCATCTATTGGCTACATATTATGATTAGAGAATATAATTTTTGCTAGATTTAATTGAAATTCAAACATGTAGTTTAACTATAGACTAACGATAATAAGTTAATCAGAAAAAGATTTGTAACACTTTAATGTAATATCTCTCTTTTACTTTTCAAATTACTAATAAAACAAGTCAATACATATACTACAAAATCCCCATTCCTTCCTGATAAGCGGGACTCAGGAGCAGAGAATAGAACAGAGAACTGGTGGGGCCAGTCAGAGGTGGCATTTAATGGTTCTCCGAACTACTCAAAATTTCCTCTACTGGTTCTCCAGAACTGGTCAGAACCTGCTGAATACCATATCTGCTGTAAAGGCTACATTCAAAGAGATTAGGCTAACATAACTTTATAGGCAAAGACCAAAATCAGCCCTGAATTTTGCATTAGAAGCTGTCAGAGATCATAGAGATCAAATGTGTTCTTAGAAAAATGAAGAAAAAGAGTACCGTAGTGGTCCGCTAAGAACAAAGCTTCCATATTTTCAGCATGGAGACTTACCCTATGTTTTCCTTTACCTTCCTCTGTGTGGAAAACAAAAACGAAAAATATTAGTCAGTACAGTGCAACGGTACAATCATTTCTTACTGAGAGGATGCAATTTTAGCTATATTTTTGTATTACTGGCATTACACCAGCAATATTTAAAGTTGATCCTCTATTACATATCTATAAAATATAAATTTAAATAGGAATACTGTAACGTGAAAGATCTATGGAAAAACTGAAAGATAATCATACTTTAGTTACATTTCCAAACTGCAGATTTGAAAAAAAAGCCTACTCTTAGATTAGAAGATGCAGATTTCTTTATTTATATTAAAGGTAAAGGTTCCCCTCACACATGTGCTAGTCATTCCCGAGGGGCTGGTGCTCATCTCTATTTCAAAGCCGAAGAGCCAGCGCTGTCCAAAGACATCTCCATGGTCATGTGGCCGGCATGGCTAAATGCTGACGGTGCACGGAATGCTGTTACCTTCCCACCAAATGTGCTTCCTATTTTTCTACTTGCATTTTTACAGGCTTCCGAACTGCTAGGTTGGCAGAAGCAGGGACAAGTAACGGGAGCTCACTCCGTTATGTGGCGCTGGGGATTTCTTATATTAGCCCTTCTCAATTACCACCTGTTATAGATAAACAATTATACAATATAATAGGGGAACACCAATTTAGTGAAGACCTCTGCTTGCAGATGTTCCAGCACATCTCTGGCTACCATGAGCTTTGTTTTCCTGGAGGACTAATGCCTGCATAATTCTAAAGCAACTATTAATCTTGGTCTATGTAACATCTCTCATGCTCAATGGTATTAAGTGAATTTAAAGTATGATTGTTGTGATGTATGACCTCTCCCCTAATGTGTTTCTGAGATGAGATTAAAAGTGAGATATTGTAATAAGACCTGTTCTAGCAAGCGAAACAAATTGAGCAACCTTAATGAGCCTTACATCTTAGGACATATCTGAATCCATGCAATATTATAGCAGCGATTATGACATGCTCATTCTTAGTTCAGAATTCATATAATTCTACAAATGTATTTAATCCTGCAGGAACAAATGGTGTGATTCTTATCTGTGCTGAATACTCTCTATCAATGTCACTTTAAGTACAGATCCTCTCTAGAATTGGGACTATGGAAGATGCAAAGTTGTTATCTACATTATGGAACAGACAAAAAGAGCACCAATATTGAGTCACAGTCATTGTTTTGCTTCTTTCACTGAATTCTCTAGCAGTCTGAACAGTGCCGGACCCAAGAAATTATCACATTATATATCACTTCAGAATTTTTAAAAGTTGGGATTTTTAATGCACGTCAGCATTTCTTAAGCACCTTTGCCCTCTGCTTCACTATCTTGAAGATAAAACATAAGTACAAGAAGGTTCTGTACTTTAGAACACTGATTTGTGGGGTAAGCATATCTACAGTTATTACAGGTCTATTTGTGGTTATGCTAATAGCAAAGTTCACAATGCATGAAAAAACTGATAGTGCTGTTAGCTACTGTTAAGCATCACAGTCCTGCATTATGCTCCAAACACAAGAAATCAATTATCAGAAGCCTGTAGAGTCTGTACAGTCTGTAGAGGCACCCATTGCAAAAGATTTGCTAAAATCAGCTTTCATTCATTTTTGGCTTCTGCTGGGTGAGGTCATCCAGTGGTTTGGAGTGAAGCATCATCAATATACTACTGATGCCCGGCTTTATATCTCCATCTCAGGCTACCTGAGCTACCCTGTAGATATCACGTGGCAGTGCTTGGAAGCTGTAGGGATCAGAATGGGGTACAGTGGGCTTTAACCCATGCAAGACTGAATGGCTCTGGGTATCTGGGACCTTTGGTGACAAGGTTCTCCCCTCTTTGGTCCTGGATAGGATGGTTCTGACCCAGACAAACCCAGTGTGTAATTTGGGAGTCTTTCTGGACTCATGGCTCCTTTTGGGAGAGCATTTTGGGCAGCCATTGCTAGGAAGGCCTTTGAACACTTTCAGGGTGTGCACAAGTTGCACCATTCCTGTACCAGAGACTTTACTCATGGTCAGTCACATCCTTGTAATCTCGTTTTGATTACTGCAATGCATTCTACCTGGGACTGCCCTTGAAAAGGATTCAGAAACTTTAATTTGTGCAAAATGCATCTGTATGGGTAGTAAATGGTGTCAAATATTTGTCACATGTAATACCATTATTACATGAGATGCACTTGTTGCCTGTGTATTTCCTGGTGCAATTCAAGGTGTTGGTTTGTCACCTTTAAAGCCTTTCATGACTTGGGATCCTAATACTTAATGACCATCTTTTCCCAGTGGTTTCTACTCATCCAGTTCTATCAGGCAGGTCGGACATGAGAAGAGTCCCATCAGCCAAGGAATTTAGACTGGCAGAGACTAGAATATGTGCCTTCTCTTCTAGCCCATCCTCTACAGCATTTTGTTTCAGAGTTGAGGATGACTTAACCCTGTAGGCCTTTCAAAAGGCTTTGAAGACTTTGCTTTGTGCATGGATGTGAAGGACTCTGTTTCCTGACTATATTGACATACATGATGGCATTTTTTCCTCTGCTGCCATATATAATTTCACTTGCTTGAGATGGGCAGCTATAGAAATTGAATAAAATAAAAAAATACTGTTCTGTGCATCCTTCAGCACATGAAAAGGTCAACTTTTGCAAGCCACTCTCAATGGTCAAACACAACGGTGATTACCATATGGTAAAGAGACAAAAACTTTTTGTTATCTATAATTTTAAACCAGCTCATCCTCCTTTCCAATAAAAACTAGAAATACAAAACCATCTAGTATCTTTCAAAAAGGGGAAAGAAGATACTGTTCAGGTCAGTGCTTATCTCCAACTTTATTATAATTTTCAAGCTTTTTCTTTGATCTGATTGCTTCTTTTGTTCTGATAAATGGAAGTATTAATATCTGAAGGTACAGTACATGATTCTTAAAGTATGATGCTCTCAACCGATGCCATAAATTTGAAATCAATTTACTTGTAAAGGGAATAATTTCAGCACAAATGGGAACAACAACGAGCTGACAAATTAAAAACAGTAAGTTCTGAATGATGAATTCTTACTGGGCACCAGAACTGAAAACATTATGAAGTAGCCATAAGGTGGTTCAAAAATAGTAACAATCTTGAACCCACAATCAAAGTTCTACACCCTTTGTATACACATCAACTTAACATTAGGGATGTCTACAAAATGGCAACATTTCAATCATAAGCTCTCAACTACAGTATCCTCTTGACTTTTGGGACTCTTTACATATGCCATTATTTCTAATCAATCAATATCTATCTATCTATCTATCTATCTATCTATCTATCTATCTATCTATCTATCGCTATCTCTGTCTGTCTGTCTGTCCCTAGATAGATATATAGATAGACAGACAGACAAAAGAGATCTCCTCTCAGGCAGAGTTCTCAACTGGCATCTGTACAAGGGACAGTTATATGCCTTGTGTCATGTACCAAGATAGACTACCTAACCATTTGCTTTCTGCTGCAGAGGAGGCGGCTTTGTCCTTGAAAAGACTGCAGGTGAAAATGAGCAAGACGACGTATGCCTATGTCTGAAAAGAGGGGAGGTGTCTAGTCAGCCTCTGATAAAAAAATATAGCATACAATTATTTTTTTATTTTAAGATTATGTGTGTTTAAGTTATTTACATGTTTTCTGATATTGTTTTCTGTAAACTCAGCCCTTGCATATTTTATATGAATCTTTTTTGCAGTAAAGTTTGATTCTACTCATCCCTTGTGAGATTGGTCTACCTGCCCATTAGCACAAGAGGAGGAGAGACCAATGTGCTTAGCCAAACACATCAGTGCTACAGAGCCAGAAGGTGGTGCTATAAAATTTATTTCCTTTCTGTTACTTATTTCCCTTTCATTTGCCAGTAAGTAATTCAGAATGAAGCTTTCTTCTCTCACATACAAGTAGTCCTCAACTTACCACCACAGCTGAGCCCAAAATTATTAAGCGAAACATTTAAGTGAATTTTGCTCCGTTTTATAATCTTGCCATAGTTGTTAAGTGAATCACTGCAGTTGTTCAGTTAGTAACATGGTTGTTAAGTGAATCTGGCTTCTCCATTGAATTTGCTTGTCAGAAGGTCGCAAAAGGTGATCACCTGACCCCGGAACACTGCAACCATCATGCTTTTCGGCACCATCATGGATCGCATGCACGCACCCGGAAAGGGCCTGTCCCAGTTGGCCTTACATTACAGGAGAAGTGTGCCTACATAGCTGAAACTTACTTCCGATGATGTCAAAGAGCAGATTTACAAGTTGGCAAAGAAAGGCCTGACACCTTCCCAAATTGGTGTGATATTAAGGGACTCGCATGGGGTTGCCCAAGTTCGTTTTGTGACTGGTAAAAAAATTCTGAGGATTCTTAAATCCAAGGGACTTGCCCCTGATCTCCCAGAAGATCTTTACCACTTAATCAAGAAAGTAGTTGCTGTCCGCAAGCATCTTGAGAGGAACCGTAAGGATGAAGATGCCAAATTCTGACTTATTTTGATTGAGAGCAGAATTCACAGGCTGGCTCGTTACTACAAGACCAAGAGAGTTCTCCCACCTAATTGGAAGTACGAATCATCCACGGCTTCTGCTCTGGTTGCATAAAAATTCTTATTATGACCATGGGAATCTAAACCATCTTGTATTTGTGTTATGCCTACTTCAGCGTGATGAAATTGATTTCTTATTTAAAATTGGAAGGATAAGTTAACACGTTTACTATATCAATAAAAGCTTCTGCAACCATCATAAATATGAGTCAGTTGTCAAGCGTCTGAATTTTGATCACATGACTATGGGGATGCTGTAATGATCATAAGTATAAAAATGGTTATAAGTCACTTTTTCAGTGCCGGTGTAACCTTGGTCACTAAATGAACAGTTGTAAGTTGAGGACTAGCTATAATGGGATCATAGAGGGGGAATGCTACATAAAAGCATTCTTCTGGAAAACAGGTGGTGGCAGGAGTAGTAACCACATCAAGGCAGGAGATTGTTCCAGAGGATTTTTGAGGAAGGGAATGTAATACCTCTCGCTTTACACTTTTTTCACTGAATTTTAGGCAAATTAATTTAAGGAACCCAAGATGTACATTAACTTACAAGCTGACATGTAAAAAACAGTGACACCCAGGGTAGATCTCTTTTCTATATCAGACTTGTGACCATAACAGACTCCAAAAAATTTGGGACTTTTGGTATAGTGATTGGTCTCCATTACGGTACACTGAACCTGACCTCATATCAATCAGGTGGATCAATCTTCAGTTACCAAATCCATTTTATAATGAGAAGGTACAGGGGAAGGAGAAAGAGGAAAACATTACCCTCAGCATCCCTAGCTTATTTAAGGATATTCAGATTCAGCTAGCCTTGTACAAATATGAATTAACAACAAAGTTATAAAAATTAGCCAGTTTATCTAATCCAGGGGTCATCAACCTTTCAGACCTCTAAATTCATAATTTTAAATCCCGTGGACCACTAGTATGAATTTTTTTAAAAGATAAATAGTATTTAGTGCAATATAAAAAATGTAAATAATTCTTTGATTCTTGTTTCTTTCCTCCATCCACCTATACCATTTATCCCATACTGGTAGAATTCTGATTCTTCTTTTCCCTGGATTTCTTTAGTTAGTTTGCCAATTTCAGCACAATCCATAACCTTTCTTATTATTTCATCTTTGCTTCTTTGCTTGTAGTTAATTTGTTTTTTTATTTATGGGCAAAGGCAATCCTTGCTGCCGTAATTATATGTAGTAATTATATGTAGTATTAAATATGAGATTTCTTTTTTGTATTTTGCAGACATTATTCCTAATTAAAAAAACTTTGTTTCCATTCTATTTTAACCCATTATTGCCTCCAGCCAATTTTTGATCCTTTTCCAAAAAAATTTAGCCTCCTCACAGGTCCACCATAAATGG